TCAAAGTTATCCAGAGCAGGCAACTAAGAATTAAAAGAGAATTGTTAGAAGGATTGTTGCAGGGTACGTGCTTGATGGTGAGATCTTGTACAAGAAAATTTCATATTAGGTTCTATTGAGATGTGTGGATGCCAAGGAATCTAAAACAATCTTCCAGGAAGCTCATGAGGGATTTTGTGATACCCATGCAAATAGACATACAATGGCAAGATAAATAATGAGGTTTGGATATTATTGGTCAACAATGGAGATTGATTGCATCAACTATGCCAAAAAAATGTCATAAGTGCCAAATTTATGGAGACAAAATCTATACCCCTCCTTACCCATTACATGTGACAGCTCTGTGGCCTTTCTCTATGTGGGGCATGGACATCATTGGACAAATTATGCCTAAGGCTTCAAATGGTCATCATTTCATCTTGGTGGCAATAGACTACTTCACTAAGTGGGTAGAGGCAGCTTCTTATGCAAATGTAACTCAGTCGACAGTCTACAAGTTGTTAAAGAAAAAGATCATTTGTTGATATAGTTTTTCAGAAAGAATCATTTATGATAATACCCTAAAACTAAACAACAAAATGATGGAATCGATCTATGAGTAGTTCAAGATAAAGCATCATAATTCCACCACTTATCGCCAAAAGATGAATGGGGCAGTGGAAGCATCAATAAGAACATCAAAAGGCTTATATAAAAGTTGAATGAGACTTATAAAGATTGGCATGAGAAGTTACCATTCGCTTTGTTTTCTTATCGAACATCAGTATGGACTTCAACTGGGGCAACTCCATTCTTTGGCATATGGGATGGAAGTTGTGTTACCTATTGAGGTAAAAATTCCCTCACTTCGAGTTTTGTCAGAGGGGAAGTTAAATGAGGCAGAATAGGTGCAAGCTAGGTATAACTAATTGAATCTAATTGAAGAAAAAAAAGTTGAAAGCCATTTTTCCTGGTCAGATGTAATAGAAGTGTATGATACGAGGACATGATAAGAAAGTTCACCCACGAGAATTTCATGAAGGAGATATGGTACTTTGAAGGATCCTACCCATTCAGAAAGATTCCTGAGAAAAGTGGATGCCAAACTGGGGGACCTTATGTTGTGAAGAAAGCCTTTTTGGAGGAGCTTTGATCATCACCAAGATCAATAGACCAGAGTTACCTAATCTAGTGAACTCTGATGTTGTCAAAAAGTATTTTACTTGAAGAAGAAGAAGAAGAAAATAGAGCCAAAGTGAAAACCCAAAAAGGGAGTTTTGGCTATAAAAAAGAGGTATAAAAACAATTAAAATAAAAAGGAGAGAAAAATAACTAAAAGGGGGTTCAAGATGAAAATTTGTAAAGGGCGTCATGAATCCAAAAAAGGTCTCAAGATGAAAATCCGCAAAGGGCGGTTTGATTTTTATTTAAATTCAAGATTCGTGCATGGTGGAGGTCCTGAATTGATGGTAAAAATGAACAGGCTTCTGGTTTGAGCAACAACATAAAATAGTGATTAGAGTTGGGACTGGAAATTGAAATGCTTCTGATTAAAACTACCAAAAAATAAATTGAATGCAGTCAAGATTCAATAATTGTTTATGGTATCTAATATCTGGAGATTTAGTAGTCTAAAGGGAACTCTATACCCTTATGCATTGTCTCAATTCTCAGGATCCCTTTAACAGAAGATGCACTTAAGTCACTTGTGGTGTGCCAGTTCAAAAGCATCATTACTATTGATATCTGAGGACACTAACTTCATTTTCTTTTATTTCTTCCAGTTAAAAGTTCTCCATGTATTTACCTAAAAGCTCTTTACATTTATAAAAATAAAGAAGGTATTTTCTAGTTGACATTCTCTTGCAAGCATCTTACATTGAAATTAAATACATATAGTTTAATTTGAAAAACATGAGATTATCGTGTATAATTATTGAAAAGTTTTGAAAAGTGTAGGTGTTTTGAAGCTAACAATGATTTTAGCATGAGGCTTACATGGTGGTGGGCTCCACGAAATTAAAACCTTGGGGTACATAAAGAGTTTTAGCATGTGCGGGGTAACCCAAAATATTTATTACCAATGGGAGATGAACTATGAAACCATTGAATGTTCATGAGAAGGAAGAAAACAAGATCATATTCAACCAAAAGTGTATGTGATCAAGATTGTCAGTTGGAGTAAACTAGTGGTGATTTTTGTGCCCAAGGTTGGATTGAGTCTCAAGGCGGTCAATGATAGAGGGTTCTCCTTTGAAGATGGAAATATACCAAAAAAATCACATTATTGCATACATTTTAGGCATAAAAAGGATCATGTCATTCATAAAATGCATGATCACGAATGCAATTAAGTATATAGGTCTTTTAAGAGAAAATTGAAGATTGGTAATATTGAAACTCAAGATAAAAATAATCAATTCAAACCTCAAATGGGAGGGGGGTCAAATGACACCAGAATCAAGGCAGATTTTTGTATTTGATGATTTCGTGACGAATTTTCACGAGAGAAAATGATTTTCAAATATTCTCTTGAGTGTTAAACCTTCAGATAGATAAACCAATCCCAGTTCAATTCTTTCCAAAAGTGGTGGAGTGAAATAAAATTCTTTAAAAGATTTGGTCTTACTTAAAGAGTAGCAGAGCTAATCCTCATTTTTCAGATTTGGTCTTCCTAAAAAGTAGCAAAGCAAGTCAACCTTGATTCAATGTTGCCTGAAGAACAGTGAAATGAATCAAAATTTTTTGGTCTGATCTTCCCTAAAGAGTAACGGAGCAGATCCCCATTTTCCCAGATTTGGTCTTCCTGGAGAGCACTGAAGCAAGTTAACTTCGATTCAACCTTCCCCAAAGAGCAACGAAGTGAATCAAAATTTTCAGATCTGATTACCCCGAAAAATAGTGGAACATTGAAGTTGTAGTGGAGCGGACTAACTTTCCGAATTGCTCATAACCGAACAAATATGACTAACCTTTGATCTTTGTTCTATTCCAGTTACACAACAATGAGCAAAGAGAGGTTGTTGTAGATACTCATTTTATCTGGGGTTTTTATTCAAGTTTCATTTGTGTATATATATATATATATATATATATATATATACATATCTTATTAATTAGTTTAAATATAAGAGATTATTAGGTTAATTATTTAATTATATATGTTGTGTGCATATTATATTGATTCATATATTATATTATTACTAGTTATATACGGATTAATTATTAGTTATTATTATTTATGTGTGTTTATATATATATATTATTAGTTATTCTTATATATATTAGTTATGATTATATATATTATTATTAGTTATATATAGGTTAATTATTAGTTATTATTATTAATTATGCATGTGTCTATATAAATATATTATTATTTATATATTTATATGGTTACTCATATATAATATTATATATATATATAAAGGCGTGGGTGTATGTGATTATATATTATTATATACGTATAAATATATAATATTACCTAGGAACGTCAACCGTTCAGATCTCATGTGTGCGAGGCACGGGCGTCCCCCAAGCTCCCACACGCCATCCTTGCCCAGTCCACGAACCCATTGGTCCCTACAGGCTCACGCTGTCGCCATCACATGCCTCTTCTGTGGAACCAGCGCCCGTATGTCCCGCAGCCACATTCTGTCTGCCATGCAGGGGTAGGGGACAGATGGATGGATGTCACAATACTCCAAAAGAACGAGGGAGCACACCTAAGCTTTCGGATTAGCCATGCAACCCACAAGTCAATGAGAAAGGTTGCATCTTTCCTCATCATACACATACAAGCCAAAAGGAGAAAAATATCAGAAAAAAAAGAAAAAACGGGGGTGATATAAGAGCATAAAAACAAAAAGGAAAATGATCATTTTTGTCATCAGCCAAGATAACCGAAATAAGAAAAATTGTGAGTTTTCTTTTTTATGATAGAACAATCAAGCATCCAACCAACTAAAAATGATAAAACATAGAAGTCTCACCTTCCCTGTCAAAAAAGGAGCACCACCGTCCCCCAGAGCCAAAACGCCCTTCAGTCGTAGAAGCTAATTCTTCTTTCGAGTCTTTTTGGGGGTCTAAGGGTTTGTTTTTTTCGAATATAGGTAGTTTCGGGTCTGGTCTTCACAAGGTGAGCGTTCGGAGGTGGTTAGGCTCCTCATCGAAGCCCTTAGAGGGCGGCGGCCACGGTGGTCGTATGGGTTTAGGAGAAGAGAATGAGAGAAAGGAAAGAGAGGGGGTTGAGAGAATAGGGGAAACGACGTAAAGGGAAAGAGTTTGGGTTAATGAAATGATAAAATGAATTTTAGGTTAAACATAAGCCTAACTAAGGCTTTATTAGTTGCCCCTTAAACGGCGTCATTTCGTCTAGGGGTTACCCGTTTTTGCACCTAGGGATAAGATTATTGTCTAAGGGCTCCGCCCAGTTTTGTTCTAATTCATTTTTGTCCTCACACATTTTTTGATGTTCTGAGAATTGTCCCCTCGTTTTATTTCTTTACATTTTAACCTTGTGTGCTAGCTTACCTTAATTTATGTTGTTTTTTTATTTAATTCATAATTTTGTTTCCTTTCATTTTAGTCCCATGTGATGATATTGGTTTTATTTCAACCACAATGCTTAACTTTGCATAATGTTTATATTTTTTGCCCTGATTATTATCATGATTGTTGTTAAGTCTTCAAAGTTTCTGTTTTTATCATTTTGTCCTTATTTTAATGAGTATGCTTGGTTTCTATTATTTATGATATAGGCTACCATGTTTATGTTTTTATATTTGAATCCACCACCATATTTATGTACATTTTAATTTCTTTTTTATGTAGATGCCTTTTTCAATTAGGTCTGTTTGGAACGGGGAAAATGTTTTCCCCGTTTTTATGTGTTTGGTTCCCATAAAATACCTTGGTCAACGTAAAACGTTTTACGGTCAATGAAAAAGGAGAGGAAAACACGGTATTTCAACTTATCGTTTGGAAAAGGGTAAGTTGTTTTCCAGCTTTCTCCCGTCCCTTGCTCTACACAGAAAACACGATCTTTGGTTCTCTCCTCCGTTGCTCCACACCGGAAAATCGATCAACTGTTTGGAATCCTTCACACCGGCGAGGCGGGCGGTCATCTTCTCAGGTATCTCTCGTTTCATCTTCTCCCTTTTCATCTTCCTTGATCTCCTTTTCTTGTTTCATCTTCCCCTCTTTTTCCATTTTCAATTTCACGATGAGGCAGAAAACAAAGATCTGAAAGCTCCATTTTCATTTTCCATAGTTGTGGTGTTTGCTTGGATGTCCAGTCAAGAGAAGCACCTGAAGAACTATGTTCAACTCTACGCTTCTTTGGGTTGGGATTCTCTCGTTTGTCATTCAGAGTTCTTAAACATGTATGTGTTTGTTTATGCTAATTTTGGGGTTTGATTTGATTTTTATTTAATTGATTTTTTGTTGGTTGGAGATTCTTTTGAGTTACTGTAGCGCCTGATTTCTGTTCTGTGAATTGGGTTCTTTTTTATTGTCGAAATTTTATTTATTGACCTTTTTTTTAATGCTTTGATCTTGAATTCTATGACAATTTTGCATTTCTGATTAAAAACGAATGGTTCTGCACTTACGCTATTTGTATGGATTATGAAATTGAGGGATATTTGGTTTGAATTGTTGTATATGGTCATGTGGCTTTGATTGTTGCTTTTGAACTGAAATTTCATGTTCATCTGCTTAACGTTGACGTTGACTGACATTGGAGGGGGATTTTGATGTTTTGGTAATCTGTACAGGTTCTTCCCAGAGAAAGCTGCTGCTCTAGCACTTGATCTTCTTATAGAGCTTGTTCAGGTAATTCTGAAAACAATCTCAATCTCGATGCCCGGACTCTTTAATCTTGCTCTAGTGTTTCAATTGGCTAGATTGGAACACACCCTCTAATGGAATTTTATGCTTTTGTATATTGAGTGAGTTTTCTCTTTCTGTTTTTTTATGCAGGAGCTGAAGATGAGGCCATGCCCCGTGGTTTTTGCATCTTTTTCTGGTGGTCCGAAGGCTTGTATGTACAAGGTTCTTCAGGTATCCCTTTTGAAAACCCCAATTTTGTTTATACCTTTTATATGTTAAAGGCCTGTTTCGTTTGTTGTGGTGACATAGTTTTATATTTCCTTGTTGCAGATGATCGATGGATTGTGTGAAGTACAAGTAAATCCGGTATGTTGCCTCTTTATCAAGATTCAAACATTTTACTAACTACTTAAATCATGCAGAAAATGGGGGGCCCTTACCTCATATTATGCTCTGAAAATGATGATCTTGCTCCTTATCAAATTATCTGCAATTTCGCTCAAAGAATGCATTCGAAGATCCAGGCTATAATCATATCTTGTTGAATACTCTTGGCAGAGGCTCGTTCAACGAAAGGAATGCTTTGCAACTCCTAAAAGGGGGAACTATGTGCTTTCTGATTTTTTTCTGTTTTGTTGAACAATAAATGGTTAATGCCATGCTTTGGGCTGTTAGACCTCTGTTCTAACACAAATTGTATAGAGAATTTACTAGAAAAGCTAACTTATGTATAATTTGTTTGAATCATAAACTTCTTTCAAAAAAGCATGCGTTTATAAATTAAATTTTTTACATCCGATTTATGTTTATTAAAAATAGATTCTAAAAACTGTTTTCAGATTTTTATAAACTATCAATGAAAGATTTATAAACTTTTATAATATATTTTTAATCAATTATTAATATTATCTAAAATACAGATTTTTATAAAATATAATTATATATATATAAAAAATGAATCTTTAAAAATAATAAAAAAATAAAACATATCTAATATGTACATCTTATTTATTAAAAACAGATTCTGAAAATTGTTTTTAGAAAAATTAATCAAATATTGTAAAACATTTTACAATGTACCATCCAAACACCGAAAAATATTTTCTAGAAAATGATTTAAATTTCTGTAAAACATTTTTCAGATTTCATTTTTCGGGTTTTCAGTGAAACAAACGGACTAGTCGTAAATATTTGTTTTTGCATGTTTACATGTTTACATAAATATGCATGGGAAAGGATAATTTATGAAATACATAACATCATTTTTTGCACAATATCTATGATTTACTCGTGAGCATAACTTCACCCAATCAAATATAAAAGGTCGTACAATTTAATTTTATGATTGTTGTGAAGTGATTGTCTTAACACATAAGAAGGTTACTTCCGAAAATTTAAAATGAAATCGTATCCTATCAAGTGAAAACTTAAAATTTGATTACACTTAAAATTTGGGAACGGGAGAAAAATGTTCGTTTATTTAAATTCGTCGAGAAAAGATAGTTAGATTTTATAAAAGACCCGATCTCGATGTCTTTAAATAATCAAACATCCTTCTTCTTTCTAAAAGGATTGGTAAATTTTTTATTTAATTTATTTTTCATCATTATTCTTGCATTTGAAATTTAAATTAATAATGAATTTTTGAATGAAATAATAATATTTCTTTATTTTGATTGGACTAAGGATTAGCTGCATTAAGGCATGAGAGGTCGTTTCTTCTCGATAGGAAATAATAAAATATTATTATTTTTCGTCCTAAAATTCAAGGAATGTTATTTAAAGAGATCTTAAATTAAATTAAATTTGAACTTGTAAATTTCATTGCAAAAACAACTAATAAATCGACTAGATACCGATTTAGGACATCGTGGGGTGGTAACCCTTCCACATGTGTAATCAACTCTCGCACTTAATTTTTTGAAACGTAGACCTAAAAACGTTGTTTTAATAAAATTAAAAATAAATTTTTATTAAAATAACAACCTTTTCAAGTCTCAATCACAGCCTAATCAATTATTGATAGCGATTCTTCTAACCATTTTTTATTTCAAAAAGGAAACATCAAATTAATCGTGAGACTTTAAATCACCTAAGTTTTAAGATTTCGTTTCAACATGTGTGTTATATGTGGGTAGATATATATTATATGCAAATTTGTACATATATATTATTTACGACCGTAAAGGTAGATATTAAATCTCTCTCTATATATATATAATGGCTAAATTCAAATAAGACTAATTTTTATTAATTTGATTTATAGGTCCATTACATAACCCAAGCTATGTAAAGCCCACATAATTTGGTGTTTCAAAAACCTTAGCTGTTAATGATCTCAATAGTTGGATCTAATGGTTATCCAACATTCCAAAAAAAAAAACCCTAAATACTAAGGGATAGCTTCCGTCTTCCACAATTAGAGGTGAACAAAAAATTTGAATATTCGATTGTGTAAAAATATCCGAAATTAGATTTGGGAAAACCGGTTTTTTTTAACCGGATCGGATATTTAAACACCGGATAATATAATCGGTTTGAGGAAAAATTAGACGACCGATTTTTTTACCGGATTAAAAACCGGATAAAAAATTGGGTTTTATCCGAAAAAAATCCGGTCTGGGTTTTAAAAATTAGCCGTTAATATAGTCGTTGGGAGTTTTTGTGACCCTTTTTGACCCTTTTTTTCTTTTAAAAAATACTATTTTACCACCCTAAACATGTATAAATAGGTTGAGATGTATTTAATTGATTACAACTTTCTCAAATCTTAGGGAATGTCTCAGGAAAGGCGGGTTAATATACGGCGTTACCGGATACATTAAAAGATATTTAACAAATTCGGTTTAGCGCTACCGGAAATGTTGTCTAATAATAATGTAGTAGGTCTAAGTCATGAAGAAATATTAAAAAATTGTGTAACCGGCAAACTTAACTTGTCGGTTCGTGTCGATCCAAATTAAAAATGTGTCAATCCAAAACGATATAACATGTAAAACTATGACAAAACCAGTATTGAAATGATAAAACCGGTAAAGCGCTACCGGATACATTTAAAGTGTCGGTACTTTAATATAATGATCGACACTTCGTGAATTTAAAAGAGAAGCAGTTTTAAGTCCTATAAAGTGTCGATACTTTTAAAAAAATGTATCGATCCAAAACGATATACCAGGTAAAAATATGATAAAACCGGTAAGAAAATGATAAAACCGGTAAAACGTTACCGGATATATTGAAAGTGTCGATACTTTATATAAGGATCGACACTTTGTGAATTTAAAAGAGAAGCAGTTTTAGCGCCTATAATGTGTCGATACTTTAAAAAAATATATCGATCCACAACGATATAACAGATAAAAATATGATAAAACAGGTATCAAAATGATAAAACCGGTAAAATGATACCGGATATATTGAAAGTGTCGATACTTTCGTAAGTACGTGTAATAAATTATCGACGCTTTCAAAGAAATAGGTAATTATCCTTTCAAAAGTATCGACACCTTACATAAAAGTATCGACACTTTTGTATTTGTATCGATTAAATATAAATAACATATCCGATGAAAATATAAGCTAAATATCCTCTGAAAATAGATAGAACGGACGAGTTTTTGAAATCGAAGCGTAATTGTTGCTGCATTTTAGAAGGCGTTTCTAAAGCGAAGTTTGTTTGTTTGTTGCTGCAGTCGAATCGAAAAATATGTTGTCGAAACCCTAATTTTTTATTATTACAGTAATCGTGATAGGGTTTTTATAATGTAATAGATAATTTTGTAATATAACCGGTATAAATATACCGGTTTTATAAGCGAATAGGTCTACAACCTATATCGACACTTTCTAATTTTGTGTCGGTACTTTATGTCCAGATTGGAAGAAAAATGTGTCGATACATTGTCAAAAAGTGTCGACATTTACTCATCGGAACCCATAATTATAATGTAATAGATAATTTTGTAATATAACCGGTATAAATATACCGGTTTTATGAGCGAATAGGTCTACAACCTATATCGACACTTTCTAATATTGTGTCGGTACTTTATGTCCAGATTGGAAGAAAAATATGTCGATACATTGTCAAAAAGTGTCGACATTTACTCATCGGAACCCAGAATTATAATGTAATAGATAATTTTGTAATATAACCGGTATAAATATACCGGTTTTATGAGCGAATAGGTCTACAACCTATATCTACACTTTCTAATATTGTGTCGGTACTTTATGTCTAGATTAGAAGAAAAATGTGTCGATACCATTTAAAAAAGTGTCGACATGTACACATCGGAACCCAGATTTATAATGTAATAGATAATTTTGTAATATAACCGATATAAATATACCGGTTTTATGAGCGAATAGGTCTTACAACCTATATCGACACGTTTTAATATTGTGTTGGTAATTTTAAGTAACGCGGTTTTTCTTCCTTCATTCAAAATATTTATATGTACATACAATAGGAGTCATGTTGATACTTACAATATATGGAGATCGTTGTCATTCCATTCCGTCTTCGAAAAAATCAGTTGATGTAGGCTGTGTGCTTGTACTCAAACTGAACTTGACTTGAGGACATGTTAGTTTGTTATGTCCCTCACCGTTGCAGTACCCACATCGCCTACTTTTCTTCTCGACCTTGTTCTTCGGCACTTCTTTTCGCTTGCGTTGTTTTCGTTGAGGGTCACGAACATTGTTTACTACAATGCTCTGGTTGACTGAATCATTCAAACCAAACGAGTTTTCTAATTCTTCTATTAGTTTTTTCATCTCATCTCTTGCGGTTTTTAAAGACTCGTCTGTCTTTGATGCAATGTAGCATAACCTACTTGACGTTGAACGTAGAGCAGCGAACCTTGCCATTTGCATCACTTCTGGAGACACATTCAAATCAACATAGATGGGTGCAGAAGCCTTCGCATCATTAGTCCACCTACTTTGAATCAAAGTCCCGGGCAAATATGTGTAGTCCAGTTGCTTCAAAATGTGAAGTTGATGGCGACACGGAAGTCCAACGGTCTCGAATTTTTTGCAGGAGCAAATTAGAGTTTTCGTACGAGAATCAAAACTAATTTCAAATTTCCTATTTTTTTCTGCGTACTTTGACAAAATATAATGTTGACATTCATCTGATAAGGACTTAATCTCTGCCTCAATCCGGTACAATGTCTCCCGTATAAGTTCATCTTGGAACACACGAAAAGATTCGTGGGTAAAAATCGCAGCGGCATGGCTTTCAAGGTCGACCAGTTTTGATCTGGAAGGGCTTCGTATGGGAACTTAAGTAATCAGCTTTCAACTCGTTCATACGCATTCTACTAATTCATCTTCAATTGCACGAACAACATCTAAATATGTCTTCTTGTGTTTCAGTGCAATAGCTAGTGAAGCATTCATAGACTCGCACCTTTGTGTTGAGCGAATATTGGCAAAGAAATAACCGGTTAGATATGCTTGTGCCCATAAGTGTCGTGTATTTCCCTTCTCAATCACCCATGGATGCTTTTGGATGTTGAATTCTGAAACAACAGAACGCCATTAAATATCAAATTCCTTGGTTGTCTACCAGGAAGCCATGCATTTTGAGAATACTGCTGTAAACTTTGGGTCACCAATGTTAGCTTGTGCATTGCGAGAAAGATGCCAAGAACATAATCTGTGCTTAGCATAAGGGATAACAGATT